GATAGCAACGTAGCTGCTGTGAAGGACTGGTTGCAGGAGGGGACCATTGGGGAACGGCCATCCGACCACGAGGGTGAAGAGTCGTAAGTCTAAGGGTCTTGAGGATCTCCTGGGATTTACATCTATGCTCAGGCATGGCAACACCTCGTTGAGTTATGGGGGTATACCATGCTCGTCCCTGGCCAGGCTCGGGATGATGCTCCTGGCTGTCACCAGTGGGCGGACGGCTGACCTTGTAGCTCAACTGGAGAGCTATGTTGAGGTAATACTCTACACTACATCACTACGCTCTTCTACGTCGCCTCCTCAGTCCTTTGGACATACCTCTCCCTGTTACTTTGCCGTGCGCCCCTATCTATCGGCCCTAACCACTACCCAAGCCGTGGACCTTGGCAAACGAATGCTCAAGTTGTCTGAGATGAGCATCAACGGCAGCAGTAGCTCAGCGCAGACTGGGAAGCCTTTCCGACAACGGATGCTGACCAGAGCTCGCATAGCCTCGGCCCTGGTACCTGAGGAGGTACCAGTAGAGCAGTTGATCGAGCTGGGGAAGTGTTGGGATGAGGAGGAGAGTGAACAACAGGAAGAAGGGGAGGAATGCTCTATTGGCAGGATGCTCATCATCTGTGCTATTGTGGTATGCCCCAGCTTACAGTCGGGTGGTCTCTATTGGAGCTCCTCAGGCTCTTGTTGGCCGTCATGAGCCCATTCCGGCCTTTGCGGTGTGTCGAGCAGCTCGGCAGCGACATCCTACTTGTGACCACCTGTCGGTATTAGAGATAGTAATCCTCAAAGGGGGCCTTGGTATTACGGATATTGGCGAGGAGAGACAAGAGGTACTATACAGTCCACGTAGATGACTTTGAAGAGGTTCTTCCTCTCAGGCTTTGAATGACTTGAAGAACGCCCAGCATCGAACACTGCTTTGGTTGACTGGTAACAAACCAGCAGCAGTAGAGCATGTCCGAGACTTCGACTCGGACATGAGTGACACTGTACTGTTGACCTTACAAGAAGGCCTTTGGGGTAGGGTTGAGGAATACCTCAGAGCTGGGTGTCGGACGAACTTGAGCAGCATCATGGGAGGTCCTGGTGGGGTCGATCAGGATCTCACTCCCATCCATTTTGCTATACCACCAGCTATCCTTGGTCCTAAGGTTAAGGGCAGCTCTGCAGTGCTTACATGTTCACGGACGCTCGAGGAGCCCCTGACGGCGCTAGGGTCCATTATTGGTACTCAGGAGCTCAGACCTCGGCCAATTACCGAGCCCTTGGACGATATGTCCCTCATGCATCCGATGAGAAGGCTCGTTTTAGAGATGCGCCAGAAGGTTGACGTGCCGCCTCAGGAGCGAGCGGAGTGTGAGGAGTTCAAGAGTCTGGCTGGGGAGGAACTACCTTCTGGGCGACCAGTAGCGGCATTGCCAGCTTTGCTATACAGGGCTGAGGAGAGTCTTAAGGTGGCCCCTGAGAATGGTGGTAAGGAGGAGGCTGAGGATATTCTTGAGCAAGTGATGAAGGAGGTCGTTGAGAAGTACTTGAGGACGGGTACGAACCTCCACAGGGCGGGGGCGGAGGATGATGACTGTCGTAGGGCTGTAGAGGAAGTGTCCTATTTTGGTCAGTATGTTGGTCCTTCTATTTTCGGCCTTGTGGTTCGTTCGACAAGAGCCTTGTCTAAGAAATCACCAATGCGAAAACTGGTGAGGCATTTCTCTCATAGAATGCAGGATGCGTTGACGGCATGTTCTAAGAGTCTTGAGCTGAGTCGTCCAACGCTGAGACAGATAGCAGCTTACGGCTTGGGGAGATCCGTTGGGGCTGCGGTTTGCGAAGTAGAGGCGTTGAGGACTCGGGCTATGAGGGAGGCGGCTAAGGGGTGCCGAAAGTGGGCCAATAGTTTAGCTGAAAAAAAGATGTAGACTCTCTACAGGGTCCGTTTACAGTACCTTGTTGTTTCTTATAATGAACTACTCTAACACACTGTTTAGTTTAGTAGTAGTAGGGGCGGTGGTCTCTGATTGGTGGTAATCCTGTGCTGGAATATATGTTTGCTCTCCTCAGCTGAGTTTAGAAGTTTCCTCACTAACTATACAGGTTTAGTGACGGATTGGCGTGGAAGTGTACAGAAACCAAGAAGAATTTCTCGAAATCTCTTCAGAATTTTCATATTGTCATTAGTAGTTGACCATGTGCATATTCTCCCATTCTGTGGTATTCAGAGTTGATTTGGCATGTCTGAGCCCCAGCAAGATGGGGGTACCAGGGGTGCGGCAGTAGAGGAGGGCTCTTTGGGGTATGGGGAGAGAGAGGCGAGCGGTGGGGCTACCTCTATGCAAGTGAATGAGAGTGAGGGAGGGTCGGCTGGGTCTTACTCTTGGGGTAACGGCTATCAGAATAGCACAGGAGGTGGGTCATGGGGTAATGATGATTGGTCGAAATGGAAGGGTAGCTCTGAGGGTAGTAGCAGCAGTAAAGGGAGTGCTGGTGGCTGGAATGGTGGTAGAGATTCTTGGTGGGGTCAGAGCCGTGGAGGAGGGTGGGGCGAGCAGTCGTCTGGTCGGGGTAATAGAGGTTATGGAAGGAACAACGATT